TATTCATGGAATAAATAAACTTTAAAGAAAAAAGATAAGTCATATAAAGTACATAGCACAATGTCCAGTGTGCATTTTATCCGTTAATATAGTGGTCTCCTTTCCTTCCTTCTCCCAGATGCCTCGGACACCACGCCCTGCTGCTTCGCCTACATCTCCCGCCCACTGCCCCGTACCCACCTCAGAGAGTATTTCTACACCAGTGGCAAGTGCTCCAACCCAGCAGTTGTGTGAGTCTTAGCCCCATGAAGTCTTCCAGGGGGGTGAAGAAGGGCTATCTTTTGCTCCCCAAGCTAGGACCCCTGACAAGGGGGCCCTCCATTTGTAGCCCCAGAGTCCCCGGTATAATGTAAAAGATCTAGACGAAAGTGTTCTTGGAGGGTCCTGCTCATTCTGGTGGACTGGGTTCCTAGGACTCTGACTGTACTGATGTGGCTCTTACTTGAATGTGGTCTGAAGTGTCCCTGCATGGAGAAGATTGACTTGGTCATCCATTTCCAGTTAAGAACCCTACAGTCCCCAGATTCCAAACCCAATCAAATATCTACCTAAACTTCAGAGAAACTAAGGAGGAGAGATCAAGGCCTAACTATAGTCAAGTAAAAAATCATAAAACTATTCATTAGAAAAGAATTAATGAGGGGCTGGCAGGTGACATGGTGGTTAAGGGCACCAGACTCCCACACGGCCAATTGTCTGGAGTCCTGGACCTGGAGACTAACTTTCTCTCTCTCTCACTCTCTCTCTCTCTCTGTCCCTCTCTGGTCAAGTTTAAATAAATGGATAAAAATAGATAAATGAGATAATTCTTTTTAAAAGATAATAAAATTTTTTAAATTAATGAAGAACCAGAAGATGACATAATGGTTACATTGCTGGACTCCCATGTAGTTGACCACAGTTTGAGTCTTGGACTAGGTGACTTAAAACTCACACCAGGTGCATGTGCGTGCACACACAAAATCTCAATAGGAGAATGGAGAAGGGATTGCGGTGTGGCCATCCCCCTGGAGGGTGATTTCTCACTTCCTCTCTGTTTCTCCAGCACATGTGCCCTACAGCAAAATTTGCTCTTAAAAAAAAATTAAATGAAATTCACCTTAAAACATACAAGCTATGTATATAATAATCCCTACTACACAGAAAATATCTGTGTCAAATGTCTTATGATTATTACCTTTCAATTTCATATGTCTGACAGATTTGACAGGTATGCATAATTTTCTGCATATTTTGGGTAATGAAACAGACTCAGAGAGGTTTGTTGACTTACCTGAGGCTGCACAGTGAACGAGTGATGGAGCCTCCTCTTTCTACTGTAGAAAGGTTATTAGTGACAGTTGCTTAAGGAAAGTAAGATAATGGAGACTTAGAGAATAAAACTGAAATAATCATGAAGCTTCCTATGTAAGGGTCAAGATTTTGATCCAAAAATTCTCATTACATTGGCAAAAGTTGTAAGTATTGAAAGATGGGCTTTGGGAGGGCCGGCAGGTGGCATGGTGGTTAGGGGCACTGGACTCTCACATGGTTTGAGTCCTGGACCTGACAGCTTGCTTTCTCACTTTCCCTTTCTCTCTGGTCATATTAAAATACAAAAATAAATAAATTTAAATAAAATAATTCTTTAAAGAAAAGAAAAAGAAAGATGGGCTTCGGTTCTGATGAATCCCTTGAAGTATAGTGGTAATATTTGGCACCTCTAATTTTATTTCTAAAACTAAACAAATGTAACTCTTGAGCCAGCCAGTAGCATGGTGGTTAAGGTGGCTGGATCCCACATGGCCAACTACACCCGGGCTCAGTGGCTTGAAGAACGTGTGTGTGTGTGTGTGTGTGTGTGTGTGTCCCCAAAATCCCAAGAGAATGAAGGAGAAAGGATTGTGGTGTGGCCATCTCCCCTGGGAAGTGCTTTCTCTCCCCACCCCAAACACTGAGCATGCATGCTCTATGGCAAACTAAAAAAAAAAAAAGAAAAAGAAAAAGAAAACCTAAAAATAGGGACCAGCAGATGGTATAATGGTTACATCACTAGACTCCCAAATAGTCAACTGCAGTTCAAGCCTGGGACCTGGCAACATAAAATTCACACAGGGTGTATGTGTGTGTGTACCCAAGATCCCAAGAGGAGAATGGAGGAGAAGGGATTGCAGCATGGCCATACCTGCTGGGGGGTGATTTCTCACTTTCTGTCTCTCTATCTCTCACTGTCTCTCCAGTGAGCACATGTGCCCCATTAGCAAAAATCTCTCCAAAAAAAATTTTTTTAATAAATAAAAAACCTAATAAATCCTTTGCTGAGCACCTTATAGGGGCAGGCACAAATCAATAAAACCTCCATCCCTGACCTGATGGGGCTCACAGTCTAATAAGAGAGAATGAAGGAGAAGGGACTATGGCACAACCACATTCCCCTGGGGAGTGCTTTCTCTCCCCAGTTCTCTATCTCTCTTAGGCTAACACACATGCTCACTGGCTTATAAACAAACAAAAACAGGTGCTGTGTGAGGAAAGATTTGGATTGGCAGAGAAAAGCCTATAGGACAGGCTATGAGGCAAAAGGATTCTACTCTGATTTATGTAGAGTCTCCACATAGAAAAGCGCAGAGGACCTTGAGTGTCAGAACAAAAAAGGCAAACGTTTGAGAGCTGTCTGGCTGCCTTGCTGTTAGCAGAACAGAGAAAGACTAGGATTTAGGAGCTTTGAAAGAGGCTGTTGCCGTTATCCACGTGAGTAGTACAGGAGGTCAAGCAGTTCCTGAAGGAAGGGAGAGACAAGAGTGAGCAACATTCAGAGGTGAAATTAGCAAGCCCTGACAGGTGATTTGAGGTTAGGAGCAAGGGATAGAGAAGGGTTGAGGATGATGCTGAGGTTTCAGCCTAGATGGTGGAGAACTGTGGAACCACTTCAAGTCTGCAGGAAACACTGCTTAAAGAGGAAAGAGCCAACTGTCAGCAAGTCACCCTGTGGAAATGTTCAGTAGGGAGTGTGAAACTAAGGGTTGGCAGCCTAGGAAAGGGTGTTGGGGCTAGAGATAGAGCATTCTCTTATAGGAAGAAGGGTTTCTGAATTTAAAAAGAGGCAAGATAACATTATCTCGGTGAGCACTGGCTCTAGAGTCATTCTTCCATTGTTAAAATTCCAGCCAGGTCATTTGGTGAGCTTGGGCCCCTAACTTCAGTTCTCTGAGCCTCAGTTTCTTCATCGGAAAAATGAGGTAATAGAAATATTTTCCATGGGACCAGTAGATGGTGTAATGAGTTACATAGCTAGACTGTCACATGACTGACTACAGTTCGGGTCCCAGACCTGGTGGCTTGAAACTCACACTGGGTGTGTGTGTGTGTGTGTGCCCAAAATCCTGAGAGGAGAATGGAGGAGAAGGAATTGCAGCGTGGTCATCCCCCCAAGGGGTGATTTCTCACTTTCTGTCTATCTGTCTTTCTTTGTCTCTCCAGTGAGTGCATGTACCTTACAGCAAAAATCTCTCTGGAAAAAAAAAAAAAAAAAAACATTAAAAATTAAAAAATTAGGGGCCAGCGGGTGGGGGGGGAGTTGGGGGGGCGGGGGC